GACATGTTTTTTTTTTTTTTTTTTTTTTTTTGGTACTGGGGATAGAACTTGGTTCCTTGTATTTGCAAGGTAGGCAATGGACCACTGAGCTAAACCCCCAGCCCTTCAGACATGTATTCTTAAAGGTCTAAAAATGATGAGAACTTAGCCCTTTAGTTATTTTAAATTGTCAACTATTTATTAGGAAAAGGATGAGGACGTTCCTAGCTGCTGATTTTTTTGGTACTGGGGATCAAACTCAGGGCCTTATGCTTGCCAGGTAAGTGCTGTGCTGCTGAACTAAATTGCTACCCCTGGCTCCTAGCTGCTGATTTTTTTTGGCACCAGGGATGGAACTCAGGGACCTTGTGTTTGCGAGGCAGGTGGCAGAACCACTGAGCTAAATTCCCGCCCTACTGGCTGCTGATTTGACAAAATAACACTATAGTTTTTCCCAAGTCACAGTGTTGCAATACATAGATGGTACAGTCATGTGTTCCCTCAGAAGAGCTCTCTAGCCAAGGTACTAGTGCTCTGCTGAATTTTCTAACAGGTAAGGGTTATATGGTTTCTAGATCTAAGGCACAATTTTATAGCCTTGAGGTAAAATATTTAGGCCTTATTATAACTAAGGGAACTCAAATACTGGGGGAAGAAAGAATTCAACCAATTCTTTCCCTCCCACAGCCTAAGACTCTAAAACAGCAAAGGAGATTCCTAAAAAATTACAGGCTTTTGTTGCCTTTAGATATAGTAAGGATATAGTAAGATTGCACAACCCCTCTATCAGCTTATACAGAAACCCAAAAGACCAATACCCAAATTTTAACCTGGGATTCCCAGACTACATTCCAGAAGCTCCAACAAGCACTTCTGGGTACCCCAACACTGAGCTTGCCTACAGGACACCGTTTCAGTTTGTATGTTAATAAAAGGTGAGAAGTGACTTTGGGAGATTTTATACAAGATCAGGGGCCTGCTCAACAGCCTATAGGGTATTTAAGTCATAAGTTAGATTTTATAGATTCAGAGTACATTTTTTTTTTTTGGTACCGGGGGTTGAACTTGGGACCTTATGCTTTCGAGGCAGGTGGGAGCATCACTGAGCTAAATCCCTGGCCTTCAGAGTAATTTATTTAAAAAGGTAAGCCTTAAACAAAATAGTGTAGTGGCAAATTGCCAGCTAGAACATATAGACAGGTAGTCCAGGAGAATGGAAGACACACCCAGAAGTTTTGGAGGTCAAGTGTAGCTTTATTTTTGTTTTTTGGTGGTGGGGATTGAACTCAGGTCCTTGCTCTTGCAAAGCAGAACCTGGAACCACTGAGCTGAATCCCCGGCCCCAAGTGTAGCTTTCTTTTTAATGCCAGTGGGTCAGTCTAAGACTTTTCCACAAAGAAACTGATCCCCCTTTGGGATGGGGCAGGGCAGGTTATACTGGGGGGGGGCACTTGCAGGAGTAAAGCACTTTACATTGGTTACACGGAGCATAAGTCATTTGGGTCCAGCAAATTCACCTGTAATCAGATATTATAGACAGCAAACTCAGTGCACCCTGAGTCACATCCCATTTACATTTGGCAGGGAGATAGAAGTAATAAAACCTATAACTAAGATAATTCCTGAGATGCTTGAGAGGAAGTGTCCAGAAGTCAGGACACATTGAAGGAATGGGGAAAACTTCCACCGTAAGTTTTGCTTTAACTGCAGAGAAACATGTTGCCTATTCATTAGAACACTTTCATTCTGTCTCGCTCTCTATCAAGAGGAAAAGAAAGGCAAAAAAAAAAAAAAAAAAAAAAAAAAAAAAAAAAAAAAAAAAAAAAAAAAGAAGCAGCAGCAATTCAGGTTCTTTGGGTATTGGTTTAATTTTCTGCTTGGCAAAGCAGTTGTAGTCAATCTTAGGTTTTGTCTCAGGAGACATGTTTTGCTAAGGATTACAGACCCGTTCTGGAAAAGCTCTCTATCTTAATTGTCTTTCTACACTTGAGATAGTTAAAATTAAATTCTTGTGCCATACTACACTTGATCTTAGCCAAAAGGCCGAGAAGCAATTCTTGTGCCATACTTAAAGTCACTCTTCTATTGCTTTTCCACTGGCCTGCCCCCGAGAAATAACACAGTTCTCAACAATGTTTGGTTGAAGGCACTTCCCTTCTCTATGGCTGCTGGATTTCAAGACAGAGCTTCCAGAATGGTGAGTTTCCTTTCCCTGGACCCCTTTCAGAGTAAAGCTGACCTTTATTTATCTCTGGACCATATTAAAAAACTGGCCTAGGTTTAATCCTAAAACTTTCAAAACATAAACATAAAGGTTCAAATTTATCTGGCTTTCAGTCCATAGGCAAAATTGGAGATTAACTCCTCTTACTTCCCTCAAGAATAATACTGACTGGTTTTTATAACAGAGATAAGTTCATTGATAAAACAAAACATTCCTAGGGAACTTTATGAGTTTAGTAACAGTTTTAAGCAAAAACAGGTGTTAAAGAATAGGCATGGCCCCAGTCCCCAGAGGACCACCTCACTCATGATTTCTCTACATGTGGCTATCAAAACAGCAGTTTTGATTACCAGCTGGCCAGCTGTGATTATTCAACAACTGTGGCTATCAAAGCAATAATGAAAAGCCTGTATAACTAGATATTCCAATCAAAAACCACCTTTGCTCTCACAGATGTAAAGGATTTTTATTCTTTTGGTTCCAGGGATTGAACTCAGGACCTTGTGCTTGCCAGGCCTCCAAGCTAAATCCCTGGCCCTCTTTCTTCTTATAAAAGATCTCTGTTAATTGACCCACAAAAGTTCTGACTAGTTTTATGCATGGTTGCAAACCTAAAAATTATAAAACGGTTATTATAATTTAACTTGGCCAAATACACCTGAGTGCACTCTGGTTTATAAATAAGTCATCTTGTGTGTGTGTGTGTGTGTGTGTGTGTGTGTGTGTGTGTGTGTCCAGTTTGTCACAACATGTACAGCTGTTTTACAGCTTAACATTTTTTTCTTTTTGCCCTTATGGATTTTTAAACTTAAGTTAAATGTGATATGCTTAAAGATATGCTTCCCTCAGGTTGCCAGATGATTAAAATGATGTCAAGACTAAATACATCCACGCCTCCTGGGTGTACAAGTCTTCTAACATTGTTCATGGTAATAATCTTTTTAAATTCAGATATCTGCTTTTCTCCTGTGCTCCAGCTACTTGTGATAAGATGCACATGTCAAGCCAGCACATATAACCAGTCAAATAATAGTTTTTCTTAAAACCTTATATGATGTGTGTGTGTGTGTGTGTGTGTGTGTATTTTTTTTTTTTTTTTTTTTGGTACTGAGGATTGAACTCGGGTCCTTGTGCTTGCAAGGCAGGCACCAGATCCACTGAGCTAAATCCCAGGCCTGATGTATATGTTATATGTGTCACCACAGTTATGGATGTTCAGATTCCAAAGAATTCAAACAATGTCACACAATAAATTTAAGGGCTAGACATTATAAACTTCTAAGGTATATTTATAGATTAGTATGTACATTCTCTTTTGATGGTATCCTATTAAAAGATAACAAATTAAGAATTTTTTGTGTCATTTAATGTCTTGATATGAGATGGAAGTGTTTGACTAAGAAAGACTTTCATACTAAGGACATTTAAGTGTGTTACAAAGATAATGTCATAATGATTATCATGCTAAAATACTATGTGTGACTCTATTTCAAGTTTATATAATGTGCAACTGTTATCTGTTAACATTCTACAGGGATTCAACTTTTAGAACAACCATATTTGCTAAAAAATAACAGTCCTCTAACTATTCTTTATATTTTAAAGTGCTTGATATGCAGGTAAAATTATAATAGCTAAGTTCACTGCACATACTAGACTCTTTTTACCAGGATCCACCAGATCCACCTTGTAAAAAAGTTTATAACTTCTAAACTACAATACAAATTCCATCTAGGCCCCATTAAGTTAGCTTTCTGGAGGGCGTGCCTAACTGCAGTCACCCCCAACTGACTCTTCTCAGGTCAAAGCAGTTAGATGATAAAAAACTACGCCCCTTCTCCCCAGTTAGGGATACTTCTTCAGAGGAGGAAATATTGCAGATAGCTAAATTAGCTAGAAATTACTATAAAGCAGTTAGACAAAGCTGGGCCCTTAGCACAGAAAAACAGTTTGAGGGCTGGGGATTTAGCTCAGTGGTTCACTGCTTGGCGCAAGGTCCAGAGTTCATCCCCAGTACTAAAAACAAACAAGCAAACAAACAGAAAAACAATTTAAGGCCTATATAAAAAGAAACTACTACACCTACAAACTTCCCCTAGGGATAAATAGCAGTGATTGATATTCTAAATAGGTACCAGTCACCTGGATGGGGGACCAAGACCTTAACCCATCCTTTCCAGGAAAGGTCCCAGACCCATCCCTTCCCCCAAATCCTTGTTCTTCCTTTGTTTGTTTTTTCCATGACTTGCTTCCCCATTTAATCAGTATTACTTGTGACTATACTCGTAGTCTTATTGGTTGTTCATAGTTTTGTCCCATCTCATGTCTGTCAGTTCTGACTTAAGTGAGTCTTTCACAAATAAACGGGGACAAAGCCAACGGGCTGCTTTTAGCAATGAACAGCAGCTTCTCAGTAAATACGGCAAATGGACTCAAAAGAAAGTATATAACCCCACTGGTGCTGAAAACTCCAGTGATTGTCTACACAACTGAACAGACCATCCTTGGGGATCCAAGTCAAACATTTTACCCCAGATTCCTTAGTCCCTTCAAAACCTATATAAATGTAATCCCTTTTCCACTTAGTTGCTAATCTCTCTCTCCCCTGGTTAGTCCATCCATTCAAGGATGAAATCTCTCCCAGCTAGCTGCCACTATCTCTCTCTACCAGTGTCAGCACATCCACACATGGATGTGATAAACTTGGCTTTTCCCAACTAGCTGCTAGAATCTCCTGATTTTAGTCCCTGTCTACTGGAATAAATATTCCTTTCAAAAACCTACTTTGATAAGTGCATTCTTCATAACAATGTCCACCTAGTGATTTCCCATTGGGCCAACATTACCTAAGCAACTGCACTTGTAATCTTACTAGTTGATTATAATTTTGTCCCACTTTGTACCTGCCTTATCTCATGGCTTTGTCCCATTAAAAAAAAAACCTTTAAAAAGCAGGATGGGTGAGCAACCCAATTTCTGGTCCCCTTTCATCTCTCTTAGACAGAAGCTGTCTTTCTCTCAATAAATGTTTCCTACTCTTAACCTCTATTGTTCCTAGAATTCATTCTTTGATTTTAGAGAACTTGAACTCTCATTTTGAATATTTAGCAGATGTGGGAGTTACAACTATTCCCCCTCTTTCAAAACAATAATAAACACTTCTGCCCACATTTGTCCCTTTTTCCCACTGCCACTTGGTGGCTTTCCCTCTGTGGCCCTTTAAGGTCTGATGATGTATCTCCTGTTTCCAGGGTAGGGTGAGTATACTTCTTTCTTTGTGGCAGTCCTTTGCCTATCTGCTTATCTTACCATACCCTGTGCTCTTAAAAAAATAAGGATTATGATATCCCTGAGCAGGGCTGCTCTGGGGATCACACAGAAAGCAAAGGCTGAGCATTGGCCCAGAGAGTATGTGCAATCCTTGTAATTCCTCCAAAATTGACCTCTTCCGTGAGTGAGCTGCCTACCCCTCCCTTCCTGTCCCCACCTCTCTTGCCCCTGCCCACCCAATGCTCTAATGGACCCAGAAGCTCCCATCCTTACCATCAGAGTGCGTGTATCTTACCGGTGGCTATTGCAGGAAATGCCAAGAGCAGACAGACTACCCAGACCAGGATACCAGACCCAGCTTTAGACACTCTCCTTCCGTGTTCCTCACAACTGACTGTGGGGAGAAGCTGCAGAAGTTGAAATGAGCACCTTGTTTGGAGGCACGCTGCTTATAAAGAAAAAGGATTTATTTAGCTTACCATTCTGGGGATTCAAAGGCTTAGAACCAGGATAAGCTCTGTTTTGCCAGTGGATAGTAGAAATGTGTGCCAGAGGCAAAGATCACTTTTCAAAGAATAGGAATTCAAGGAAGGCTGGCTTCCCACAATCTTTTCCAAAGACACACCTCTAATGATCTAAGGGTCCTCCCCCAGCTCCACCTTTTAAAGGTACACCACCTCCCATTGCCACTCTAAGGACCAAACTTTTAACATAAGAAACTTTGTGGGGACAAACAACATCCAAACCACAGCATTCCGTCCCTGGTCCCAAGGTTCAGACTTGCACAGTGCAAAATGAATTCCCATCCCCAGTAGTCCCTGAAGTTTTAATTTATTCCTGTATCATTCAAAAGTCCGGGGATTTAGCTCAGAGGTTCTGGCGACTGCCTCGCAAGCACAAGGACCTGAGTTTGATCCCCGGTGCCAAACAAACAAACAAACAAACAAAAAACCCAAACCCAAAGTCTCTTCTAAAACTCGAGGCAATGTTTGCAGCTTTGAGTCCCTATAACAATAACAAAGACAGAAATTTAAAAAATTAAAGTATAACAATAAAAGTGAAGTCTACACCTATAAAATACAGTGGCAACACAGTGAGAGGGTAAACAGTGCTATTTCAAATGGGAGGAATAGATAAATTGAAAGACAGTTGGCCCAAAACAAGACTGAAACCTAGCAGGGCCAACATTTTTTTTGGACCAGGGATCGAACTTGGGCCCTTGCACTTGTGAGGCAGGTGGTGGAGCCACTGAGCTAAATCTTTGGCCCCCAACACTACATTCTAAATCTTTAGGTTCGCCCTTTGTGCACAATGAGGCAAAGTGCTGGCTATGGGCTAATGCCTGCTGCTTTCCAAGGCTGCTGTGTCACACTGCTGTTTTCTCTGGGACCCTGGCTTTGGTTCCAACCCCACAGCCCCATTAGACATTGCCATACTGGGGTACTGGGCACTCCCCACAGGGTTTCCACTTGCAAAAAAACCTTCTGCCTGGCCTCAAAGACTTTTCTTTGAAATCGTTTTTTGTTTTGTTTCGGTTTTTTGAGACAGGGTCTCACTATGTAGTTGAGACTGACCTGGAACTCACTATGTAGCCCAGGCTGGTCTCAAACTCCCAATAATCCTCCTGCCTCAGCCTCCCGAGTGCTGGGATTATAGACGTGCACCACCACATTTAACTTCTTTGAAATCTTGAAGGAAGCAGCCAAGACCTTATAACTTTTGCGTTCTGAACATCCTTAGAATCCGTACTATATGCACAAATCTGCAGGAACATAAGGACTTCCTGGGCTGCTGGATTATAACTGCAAAGGACTGTGGAGCAGGTCATGATGTAATGGGACAGAGCAAAGGGCCTGACTCTCCCTTTTCCCCTGCCAGCCAGAGGTGAATGTTTAGTCAATGGCTGTCATGCCTCACACCCACTTCTCTTATCTCTTTGTTACCCTCCCCCTCAATGGATGGGGCAACTTGCCCTCAGTGTTCTCCCTGGTTATTTAGAAGCCACCTCCTCTTGGCCATTTGAACAGCAGTGCAGTTCAATTATCAGCTATGGTGCCCTTTCTTACTCCTACCATTTCTGTTACTGTTGCTACCTCTTTGAAAAAGGCAGGGGAAAGGAACCACCCTAACATGGCTAAGATAAGGGAAGGAGGGATCTGGGCCCATTGTAACAACCCCAAAGTCCCCAGTAAGCTACAGTGAACACAGCTAGCCCTCCAGAAGATTTCCTGGTTTTAGCCCAGCATTTTTCCTTTCCTTTCCCTGCCTTCCTTCCTTCCTTGCTTTTTCTTTCTTTCTTACCTGGCCTTTTTTCCTCAGAGACTGAGAGCTGTCAATCAAAGAGCTGATGTTGTCTTGCCCTCTCACTGAATCTGCCATGACAGCTGCTGTCCTGGAGCCCCACCTCACTTGAACTAACCACAGGCCTGAATCTGGAAGGATCAAAATGCCTGAATTTGAATCAGTCACAGGCCTGCTGCTGCTATATAAGGAGCATTTGCCTCACACCTCTCTAGCTAGTTTTCCAGGCTTCTTCTGGTGTACTGACCCTATTGTGCTGTCCCACAGGTCCTGTTAAAATAATGACTTCATCTTGTGGTCCTGTAAATCTGTTTGTGACTTATTTCTTGGGAAGTCTGGGCTCTGAAGGACCTATAAATCTACTCAGGATTTTCATCCTCAATAGTGTGGACAGACAAGTCATTTCAAAGAAAGAGCAATCAACACCAAGGGATATTAGCCCTGAAGAGATCCAGAGAACAGCAGCCTATAAAAATTAGCCACAGAGACCTGGAAGTTTTATCTAGTAAAATCAGGTGTCATCCAGTGGTATCAGAGCCACTAGCGGAGCTGCACTTTGCAGATTTATGATTTCTACCGAAATGGAGCAAAAGAACCCTCAACTGATTGGTAACATGATCAGCACTTAAAATCGGAGGGTGCCCCTGTCCAAGGAGCCTAGGGAGCACTTTTGGACCTCTCAGTCAGTAAGAGGAGGGGGATGCACTGGGAGGCTAAGATGCCTGTGGGACATCTTTCCTATTATCCTGAGCAGATTTCCTTCTTTTTTCTTTTTTTGAGGGGCTTGAGAAGGGGTTACTGGGGATTAAACACAGAGCCTTCATACTGAATTGCATCCTAGCTCTTGCCTTGCCTTTCTCCCTTTCCTTCTCCCCCCACTCTATGTCCATGTAGGTTCTGGAAAGGGAGGTTGTTATCAAGTAACTAAGGAGAAAAATATGCTAATGAGGTCACCATAGACCAAAAAGAGCCTGATGGGTTCACACACCCTGGGAAGGTTGAGGCAGGGGGGCATCCTCTCACCCATTTTGAGCAACGTTGGCCCAGTACCTCATTATCCTCCTGCTCAGCAGCTCCTCTTCTTCAGTGAAGTCAACTGCAGAGAGGAAGAGGACAAGTGCCCAGGTTCTCATCAACCTATTCCATTTACCAGGATGCCTAGAAGGTCCTTCTTCCTTTATGAACCCCCTTTCCTGCAAAAATACTGGACACCATGATTTTACTGGGGACAGGTGGAGATGACAGAGGCTGGGGCAGAAGGAGCTTAGATTCTAATCCTGGAACAGATCTTGAGTTATAGTATGGTAGACACCTAATTCTGTTCTCTCTCTTAGCCTCTGAAAAGTGAGGGCAGTTACCCTTCAGGGGCCCAGCTGTGGCCCCATCCCAGTTCTTGAAGATCAGGGCAGACTCACTTTTTCACTCCAAAACAAGGATCCAAAGACAAAGAATATCTCATTGCAATGGTCAGCCTTCACATGAGGTGGCTTGGAATATTTGAGGAAGTTAGGCCGATACTGGAACTCATAGAAGTAGACTGTGCCATGGGAACCTGGGATTGTGGACAGGCTATGACATGGTAGCCTCTCATCTGGAGATTCTCTGCCTCTCCTTGGTGATAAGACACTTTATTTAATGCTGATTAGATTTTAGACAATGGGGTAGGAAACCTAGACTGAAATTGGGGCTGCGGGAAGGATATCAGTTAAACCATAGCCTTAGCATTCCTAGTTGTGTGGTCACTAGTCAAGGAACTGAATGTTACTGACTCAGTGTCCTCAACTGTAACATTGGTAGATGTCGATTTGTTCAGCCAGTCAAGGAGTACCTAAAGGAGGGACATCAAGTATCTTATCTCAGCAACCTGGTAAAGATATGGGTGAAGAAATGGACACGGGAGATCTCATGTTGGACCTAGAGCTCTGAGTTGGCCCCTTGGCAGTCAGGCCTCAGTGACAGATATAGTCACACTGAAAATGTGCTACTTGGAGTGCACGGATCACAAAGATGGCATCTCCCATCATCTCTCTCTCTCTCTCTTTTTTTTTTTTTTGAGACAGGGTCTCACTATGTAGTTGAGACTTCCATCATCTCTTGGAACTGGGTTTGGAGAAACTGAGGATCCTCATTGTCTCCTATATATTCCTCTATCATCAGGTCTCCAAACTCAGCAGGCAACATTCAGACGAGGGGGATCAGGAAGAGTCAGGCCTTATAGCTCTGGAGCAGGGAGACAGAAGACTCAGAGTAGGGAGATAATGTCTGCAATGGGACTGGGAATGCAGTAGAAGATCAAGCTCTGTGTTGACCTTTTACCCAGAAACACACACATATGCCAACCTTTATTCATGGGGGTAGCTGCATGGCAGGAAATCAAGAGGGACCCAGTCTATCGTGGCAGGACGATAGGAACCTCACCATCTGTGTTGCTGTGTGCTGTCGAGCAGCCTTCATGGTCTCTCTGTCCATTTCCTTTTGGGTGTCAATAGTGCTTATTCCCTGGGTAGTAGGGAGAGAAGACTCTCATGTGGAGGGTAGATGAGCTTAGAGCTACAAACATCTAACATCTCCCTAGAGCTTCTCAGGGAGCTGAGGATGGACCTCACCTTGGGGATGATCCAGCCAAACTCATCATTGTTAACACCAATGATGCTAGGTACAGGTTGAAAATCAGCAGAGGCCAGCAGCTCCTGGGGGTGTCTGGGCAGGAAGTTTTCATCCACTATACCAGCAATGAGCCTGAAGGCCACAGGGGAAATTAAGGTCGGGAATCAAGGTCAAATTCTAGAAAATTTCTGATGTCCTCTGGGTGCCTCATATTCCCTTTCTGGCTCATTTCCAAGTCCCCACTGTAAAAGGTCCAATGCCTGGCTCTACATGGCCTAGTGTGTCATTTAATATCCAGGACTACCAAACATGATGGCACGGAGATGAACAAAATGTCCCTGGGGGTTTGAAGGGCACTCAGGCCTTCCTGCCTCACATACTGTCACTCCCTGCATCCAACCCAAGGCCACTCAGCCTGACCTGGTTAATAGCCAGCCTTTCCTCTTCACTCTTGCCCCGCAGCCATCTCACAAGGCCTCTGAGTCTACTTCCTCACAGGCAGACAGGTTGGCCACCTTCTGTAAAGGGAGCAGGCAAGGGACTGGCTCATCTTTCCAGGCAGGCAGAGGAGTATACCTAACGCCCCATCAGATGTCCTTTAATTTTATAGGGTACTCTGTAAATCTGTTCAGGTGTGAAATTATTTGAGTTCCTTGATACTCAGAGGTTTCAGTCAGAG